TATTCTTCGACTAGTTGAATATACAGTTAGTTAAATTCCTGAGCTAGGATTTACTCTCATTTGGAAAATATTTTTGTCACTGGTTTGAACCGCTAAAAAAGCAGAGGTTTTGATAAATTAAATGAAAACATTTAGATCAATGTGGGGTAATTTATTTTTCCTCTACATTATCTGTTCAAATAAAATCATTAATGGAAGCAGTTAATTAAGTCACTTGCTTTGGTTTCCTTTGCTTCCCTTCTCCCTTCAAAAAAAAAAAAAAACCAACTAAAAAATAGTGAACGATCGCCTTGCAGGCTGACATGCTTCTGCTGTCCAGAGGGGTAGGCATGTTTCTTTTATCATGTCTACAATAAATTGGCAATGTGACCCTCTTTATTTGAAGGGTAAGGCTATTTAGACCTAATTTTGTGGCTGTCCTCCCAAAGCATGGAAGGAAACACAATACCTTCTACTTATTTCCCTGGATACTCTAATCCCTCCCTGCTTTACAAGTATCTTTGAGCTGTTCTTCCCTTTGTATCCACAGCAACCTGAAATCCCCACTGGAATTATTTGCTGCGAAAATGCAGGTGCACTTGTTTAATGTTTCATTGGCTTGAGCACTTAACTTGAACTTTTTTTTCACTATACGGTGACCTTTGATTTTGGAGCAGAGGGCTCCCAGTGATGTTAAATGTTGTTTATGTACACCAGTCGACACCATCAGATACGAAAGTCGTGCTTTATCTGTGTTTCTACGGTTCCTGCCATTTCATGCCATGTGTGCCCAAACACAGGCTGCAGCCTGTGACCCCCTCTTTCATTTGCAGGAACATTTTCAGTATTCATAGGTAATCAGATTTTAAATCAATCGACTTGAATTATATACTTCATGATTTTGGACCAATACTCTTAGATAGTTATAGATTTAAGACTTTAAATATTTGGATATTGCTAAATCAGATTATAGAGGAAACTATCACAGCAAAAGTATGAGACCAGGAGAAAAAATGAATGTGCTGGTGAAATTTTCACAAAGAAGACTGGGGAGGTTCTGTCCCAACCATAAGGACCTTTATGCCATGCTAGTGAATTTGAACTTAATAGTTTGCTGATAGAAATACTTAACATTTATTTAAAATGTACTATGTAGCAGCCCGTATTCTAAGTATTTTACAGACACTAATTTTCGCAGCATCCCTATGAGCATTGGATTCTATTATTCCCATTTTACAGGCTGGGAAATTGAGCTACAGAGAAGTAAAATGACTTGCTGAAGTTCACAAAGTTAGAAGGTGCTAGAGCTGGGGGTCCCACGGAGGCCATCTGACTCCCGAGCTCATGACCTTAATTGCTCTGCTTTGCTGCCATCAAGGAAGTAAGCAAAGATGAGGATTTTAAAACCAGAAATGGTTGAGATTTGATTTCATTTAAAAAGAGGTTTCCAGTACCTGTATGGAATGTGAGCAGAAGAGAGAGACTTGTTCCAGGGAGCAAACCCTCTGGATAAGATGATGGTCTAGGGCCGTGTGTCACAGGAGTGGTGGGGAAGGGGCATTCAAGAGATGTGGACAAGGTAAAAGGGATCAGACCTGGTGGCTAATGTGACCAGTCGGTAGGGGCCTGCAATTGGCTTCCAAATCCCAACTTGAGAGGTAAAGGCAGAATAGGTTTGGGACCACCCAGGGCATCCCAGTTAGGACTGACAGGCATCTAGAAATTAGATGTACAGCTCAGAAGAAACACCGTACAACACACTATTGTAAATATGTAAGATAAGGTCATGGAGGAAGATAATGTCACCTGGGAGATGGGCGTGAAACTTGACCAGGGACAGATGGACAAGGGAGGAAGAACTCGTAGAAAGGCAGTGATTGAGGAGTACCTGGTTGCAGGCAGCGTGTTCTACCTTTGCAGCTCTGAGGAAGCCTCCACCAAGGCCAGCTTGTGCTGTGTTCTCCAGCCCTTGCTCCTTTGGGTCAGGATCAGGAATGGCATCCCACCGTTCCAGTCCCTGAAGATTCCCCTTCCCTTTTGCCTCCTCTAAGCCTTCACACGCTGCTGCCTTCATCAATCCCACGTTGTGGGGTCTGCCATTTTTTTTGGCTTGGCACATGGTTAATAAGGTCTTTTTCGTTCCCATCCCGCCCTCCTTCACGAGTTGTCGTGAGGAGAGACTGCTCACTGCTTCCCAGGATTCAGTCTGCACTTTGGCCTCGGTAAGAGAACCCTGGGCAATACAGTTCTCTAGCAGACCACTCTGTTTTTCTTTGAAACACAACATATTCCAGCCTCCCTTGTGGCTACCTGTGGCCATGTCCGTGAGTTGTGGTAGTGTAAGCCGAAATGGCACAGGGGAATTTTAGAAGGGCTCCTTGACAGGAAACCCTTTCCACCCATTCCTCCTTCCGTGGCCTGTAGTGTGGCTGTGATGACTAGAGCTCCAGGGGCCACTCTGGACGCAAGGTGACCTTGAGATTTGGAGCCACACCTAGAGGAGAGAAACTGGGTCATGGCCCCACTGATCTCATGGACCTACCTTGTCAGCACAAGACTGGTGACACCCAGGGTCTTCAGAGTCTGAGTAAGAGAAATTTGCTGTGACTGGGAATGGGGGAGATGGAAGATGGACTTGAAGAGGAGACAGGGTCTGTGGGGAGAAACCGCACTGCTCACCTGGGGATAGGAGACTGCTCTTGTAGGGCATCTGGGTGTGGTCATGAGAGACGTGGGAACAGGCCAAGCTGGTCCATGTGATCCTCATCATGTAGACGATGCGCATGCTTAAGAGTGAGGAAGGGGATCGGAGGCAGAAGGAGAGGGTTACAGTGGGGACTTGAACACTGGGGAAGGGCCAGAACAACCACAGTGAAGAATGCAAAAGCACTGACTAGGACGAAAGAGAAGGAGTGGAAAGCTGGCTTTGTATATATGTAAACCCAGAAAATGCCTCCCCTGCCCCACCCCAAAAATTATCTATGTCATTACAGATACTGTTAAAAAAAAGAAAAACCCTAAACGACTGTGTTTTGAAGGGAAAGTTTCATAGTACAGTAGTATAATTTAGGATAACACAATGTAATTGTTTGGCAACTTACAAGTCATTGGATCCCTGTTGTTAGATAATTCAAATTATTCAATACCAAAGAGATTGCTTTGTGGTAAAAGAGACAGTTGAATAATTATGAAGCCTTCTGTTCAATAGAGATGTAAAAGAGCCTGTATCTAACTACTATTAGTATAACCTAAAGCACATTTCGATCACATAGGATCCAAAGCTGGGATACATTTTTTTTACATTTTTAAATTTTAAAAACATGGGGTACAATTCAGGATTCAGTATACAAGTAGTCATCGTGTGGGTAAAGTTTGGGCCTCCCTTTGGTCCCCACTGCCAGGAGACATTTTAACTGTGAGTATAAACACTTATTATTATCACTATTGGCGTTTTCTATGAAATGGTAATTAATCAGAGGCCTGTCATCGATTGCAGGCAGACTGCCACAAGTAGCTGAGGTTAATTGTGACCTTTATGTTGTTTGAAGATATTCAAAGTTTGTTTTCTTCTTACTAGGGAAGAAGATGTGATCCGTCTTCTTCCTATCAAATCAGTCTTCATTCTTAAATGACACCTATCCTTAGAGACTTTAGAGCAAAACCTCATAATATTTAGCTATTTTTAAATGTCAGGTGCAGTGGAGTTTATTGCGTTGCCGGCCTGCGCCATCACCCTGAGTCTCCTGCTTTTAGTGCTACTTAGCAGATTGTCGGTAACTTGATAGCATGTCCACATTTGGAAGGCTTCCAGTCTCCTCCTGGGAAAGGAGGGCAGGTGTTTTCCTCTGACTTGGTGAAGGCTTCTTTTTTGGCATTTGGTTGATTGAAGGGGAGGTGTGAACTAAGAAGGGATTTTAGGGGAAAAAGTCTCTTTCTCATCAGCCTGGGGGAAAAGATCACCCAGAACATTTTACCCACTCTGACCAGAGGACAGATTTGCAGGAGCATTTTAAATCCTGACAACCAAACGCCAGTAAGTCTTGAGCACGTGGACCCCTCAGAACCCTCCACTTGGGGCAGGACTGCTCAGAGGGGGTGGCATGGTGACTGGAACAGGGCACTGCCTGGGATTGGAAGGCCTGGCTTGCATTTCTGGCCCTGCTGTTCATGAGCGTCAAGGCCTTGAACAAATGACTTAAGTTTCCAGCCTTGATCTTCTCACATATGAAATACGGGTCATGAAAACCTGTCCACCTACCTCAGCGTAAACTGTCTTGAAGACTCATCTCTGTGATAATGTCCACCAGTGTGCCTGGGGCTCTGGAAAGCCGGGTGCAAACATCAAGTAGTTTTGTTCTTTCAGGGAATCTTGTAGTGTTTTCTCCAAGGTGACATTTCGGTGTCCTGATTGGAGTAATGGTATGTATCTGAAAATAATCAAGCTAACCTTGACTGAAAGAGAGTAGATGGTCTTTGGATACCTCTCAACCATTTGAGATCTACAGGACAGTGCCAATCCCCACCTTCGGACTTACTAGCTGTACCGTTTTGGCAAGTTGCTTTACTTCAGTTTCACCTAGTAAAAGGGATCATAATGTTTCTGACCTCACTGCATTGCTGTGAGGACTTTATAAGTAGGGTAACAATACACTCAAGGTGCATGAGTGTAAGCACTCAGCAGGCCTAGCCGTGGTGGCTGCGGTTCACCCAGTTTCTTAGAAGTAGCCTAAAGCACAAACGCTATACTAAATCTACCTCCCTCTCCGACCTGTGGGTTTCATTTTGTCTTACTTTGAGAAGCCAGTTAAGAAGTTTCTGCAGTTCGCAGCTCCAGCGCCATCTTGCTTTATCATTTAAGCAGTTGGTTCTGCTTGAAGGTTTGTGCAAAAAGAGTTGCTCACTCAAAGAAAAAAATCTACAGTTGGATGCCACATGATATAATGTCAAGCTGAATCACAATCAACTTTCACTGCATCATGCTTAACCTCTTTTTGTTCTTTTCCTTGTTGCTTTTTCCTTAGTTCTCACCTGAAGTTCAGTAATCTCACTCTGATTTCAACACACGGACTCCCAGGAAAGAAACTTCTGGGCGCTGAGCAAAGGAAGTTTTTAGCAAGCGAGTATGGATTTTATTTGCATTTTCATTCTGAGACCCAAATGTCCTCATTTGTGCACAATCTTTGTTGAGCTAAACAATAGTTCAGATGTCACTTGGGGATGCAAGCACGAACCTGTGAACAAGTGAATGACCATTTCACCTGTGGGTGGTGGGACTGGGCCACCTTGTCACATCTGTGGGGAGACAATTTGGATGGAGCCTGCAGACCCCATCACTCTGCATTTGAGTTCTGGGAGAGAAAACACAGGGCAGTGGGGCTGGGCGACTCTATTTGCACCTGACAGGGTGCCTGACTGGGGTGTGGGTCTCACGCCCACCCTAGCCATTTGTAATCAAGGGCCCATCAGGTAGAGACCTTCTACCCCCACCCCTCCCCCGCCCCGCACCTCCCCAGTCTGGGCGAGCTGTATTGTTTTTCTCTCTGTAGAATCATGACTTGACAACATCCATTTTAAAAAATTCCATTTCCTTATCACACACCTTTCATTAATTTTAATTTCCTGTAGCAAAACATGGGTACAAGAAATATTAGGCTCCCTGCCTCAAGGAGGAGGAAGGAAATTGTTCCCTCTCAGGGGGTTCATTTCATAGTCTGAGATGAAGGAACTCTCTTTCCTCTGTGAAAAAGACTTGTTTTCTGCGCTCAAGCAGTGAGAAAAACCACAACTTCCTTGCCAGCAGAACCGGACTCATTTTGACTTAATATTTATATCAGATGATAAACTCTGACTTCTTTTTTTAAATGATGTCATTATGCTACAGTAAAAGGGTTTTAAGCCAGGGAGATGTGGGTTCAGATCCTGCCACACACTAAGGGCTTGGACAAGAGATTTCATTTCTCTGAGCTTCTTTTTTATAATTGTGAGAAGTATATGATAAGCCAAGCTGCTGGATTTTTGTTAAAATTAATGTAGCACCAAATTCTGGCCAACAACCCATGGACACACCTTTCCCTAAATTTCCCTCTTCCTGTCCCAGTAAATCCTGGTTTTATTGATAAATGTGTTTAGGAGAATTTAATTCAGTCATCTTGATAAAAGTTTCCGTCACCCATGTGGGGTGAGTTGCAGCGGAGAACTAGCTAGTGACTGACTTTCTGAGGATTGACTGAGTGGCTAGGTGGAGGGTCACTGCTGTCTCTGCTGCTGTCCTTGCCCCTCTACATTCTCAACACAGTAGCCAGTGCCAGGCTGTGAGAGATGGCTTGCATCATGTCAACTCCTCATGGTCCAGACCTGTACCACCCTATATGGTGGCCACTTAAATTTAAATTAAATGAGGTGAAAAACTCAGCTCCTCAAACACATTAGCTATGTGTGGCCAGTGGTTACCATATTGGACAACCCAGATGTAGAATATTTCCATTATCATAGAAAGTTCTAGAATGATCCAACCAAAAATCTGTCTTCCTCTACTTCTCTAAACTCAACTTTTACTATTTTTGCCCTTTTCCTCTCCACTCTAGTCACACCAACCTCCTCGGTGTCCCTCACCACGACAGACAAGTCCCACCTGGAGGTCTGTTTTTCTGTCTCTTAAATGTCACCTTTTCCATGAGGTCTGCTGACCACCTCATTCATTTGCAATCAACACCCCAACACACTCCAGTTCCCCATACTCTGCCCTGGTTTTTTTCTTCTTGCTACTGAAATCCCTCTAAATATTACATATTTTGCCTTTTAAAATTATGTTTATTGCTTACATTCCAAAACCTTCAACTATGATATAAACTCCACAAGGACAAGAATTTTTGCCCTTTTTTCACTGATGCATCCCAGCATCTGGGATAGTCCTTGGCACATAGCAGGTGCTCAGTAAACAATGTGGAATAGATGAACGTCACATCCAAGAACATCTGCAGAAGTCCTCTTGAGCAAGTGTTAGGGACCAAGTAATAGCCAGACCCCTTTGCACAGGTAGCTGAATGCCACCGTGTGTCTTAGAAGCCACAGCGCGAACCACAAACAGGATGTTGCCTTTCTAGTCCCTCATCCCCCAATGAAGGACATTATCTCTGCTCACAGAGTTTAAAAGTAACAGGTGCAAATGACCTTCATACATTTAATAACTTTAGTTCCTCATTCTCAACACGGTTTTGAACATGTCCTTAACTGGTGTTTCAATTATTGTAACTGTTCTTTGTTTTGAATAACCACCCCCTTCCCCCAGCCCTTGGTGGAAGTGGTAATGACAGGCCTGGGAGGAAGGCAGTGGGAGGGGAGGAGGAGCAGGAAGCAGGAGGAATCGCTAATTGGACAGTTCATCCTGATTAATTGAAAGTTCATTGTGATGGTCCTTCTCCTTAAGAGTGCCACAATTAACCCTTTCTGAGAACTGCAGAGGTTCTTTCCTGTTCTGGAGAGCTGTGATTCCATATGGAGTGGGTCTCCCTGGACTCGCATGTCTCCCGGAGCCTTCCTCTCATTGCACACTTGTCTTCTGAACACCAGGTTGGGGACACTCCACCCTTGAGCAAGCTGCCACTCCTCGTGGATGCCCTCTTTCACAAATCTCCCCATCCAGCATTTCTCCTTTTTTTCTCCTCCTTATTATCTGTCTATAGAACTTTCTATGAAGACAGTCTCTCACACGTGATTTTTGAATCAAGGTCAAGCTCGTGAGAAACGTGAAGTTTCATGCGTGTGGCTTCCTCTTTTCTGGCAAACCCTAGTGGAGATATTTCTTGTATCACCAACCCCTGCAACAGGCCCTGCAATATTAGGATCCTAGTGCTTAGGAGATAATTCTGGAAAGATATCACTCACAGTTTTCAAAATGTCGTTTCACTCACCTGGCGAGGAAATTAAAGAAGATCAGGGATGGATACTAGTAGTCAGAATGGATGGCAGCCATTTTCACACAGTGATATTTGAAACTGAGAACTGTTGCTCAGTGCAGTAGCATACTGTAAAAGCAAGCACCCCACATTCTCCAGCACTTCCTTTTGCATTTGAGTCAAGGTTCCTGAAAATCAGTGTTCCCCAATGTCAGTTCCCACTGGACAGAGCTTTGGTTTTTAATTCTGAAATATGCATTCTAACGTTGTCAACACTACTGTCCTCCTGTCATTAAAAATTCAAGCACTGTCTTCACCTTCCATAAATTTCCCCTGAGAGCTTTTATCTTTGGGCAAATCCCCATAAGCCTAATCCCCATGCACTAACTACATTTAATTTCTCCTCATCTTGGATGACTGATAGTAGGGACTGTGGAACATATAAGCACAATCCCTCGTGGGTTTCATGAGAGCATGAATGTATGGAAGCAATGAAGTTGTCCTTATTTCTGTAAAGCTGCCAAAATGGTATTTAAAAGAGAATTGCATCTCACTAGCCATTATTTTCCTGTGTCAGGCCAGTGCCCGATTTTCTTTTCTTAATGAGAAGACATTTTCTTGTTTTTAAGTATTGCTTCACAGAGAGATACAAAGCCTGGTGCTCCTGTCTCTTTCACAGGCCTGGTAACGGGGTCTAATGTGCCTCCATTACTAGAATTCTCTTTGTGTGGGAAGACCAGACTCATGTGTGGATCAAAAAGAAAAAAATGGCCTCCCATTATGAGTTCAGAATCCTGTTTGCTTCCAAAGAAAGTAAACAGGATTATGTTCCATTAATATGATTAGAATAACACCTTCCATGTATGCATCCCACTTAACAAAGCAGCATTTCCTACATTCTCATGTTCATTTCTTACAATGGTCAGGGCACAAGAGGTGGGCTATATATCCCGTTTTGAGAGGTGAGGAGACAGGTATATCAAAGGGATGCAGAAAGAGCAAGGATGCAGGCCATTGCACAGTTCTTTCTGAAGAGAATCACGCTGCCCGGTATAAAAGTAACACAGGCCTACAGTCCCAGATACTCAGGAGGCTGAGGCAAAGGATCACTTTACCCCAGGAGTTTGAGGCCAGCCTGGGCAACATAGCAAGACCCTATCTCTAAAAATAAATTAACAAATACATTTAAAAAAGTAAAAGTTAAAAAGAAGAAAAGGATCATGCAGCCTAAATTTAAATTAAACACTTATTGTCATACCATCTCAGACCCTCAGTCTTCAGAACAGAATCATTAAAAGGTATTCACATGAGGTCAAACCTTCCAGAAAACTCTGGAAACAACCCTGATAAAACTGAATAAACTCAAAGCCACAAGAAATCCACTCTTCTCATATTACACTAGAGCACTCAAACCCCAGAAAATGAAAGACCATGTGGTCACCAGTGCCCTGAAACCACAGCACGAGCGCCCACCCTGGACCTGCTGTTGGTAGACGGCCCAGTACCCTATAAATCACCTTTGCCTTATAGAGTGAATCCTAAAAGTCTTCAGGGAATATGTGAATACTGTGAACAGAATTCCCTAATCGATGTCTTCTTTGAATAAAAAGTGTTTTGTTGTTTTGACATGAAGCCACACACTGCTTCTAAGAATGGGTCATTATTGAAAAGTATTAGCAAATAGGATTCTCAATATTCAAGGACTCGGACCCTTGCCTTTGGGAATCCTCAACAATGTCACTTCTCCTTCATTTTCTTTGAGCCTGTGGCCAATATGACAATTCAACAGCTAAAGTAAATTTACAGCTGCAATGAAATAGAAGCAGAAGAAATAGCATATTATTAGTGACTTCACACACACACACACACACACACACACACACACACACACACACACACACACACACACTCCCCATCGTTGGCTGGTCTAAGCCAGGTGGAACTATTTAGCTTTAATGGGAAGATGTCAATTTGTGACTGAGTGTTTCATAACGAAAAATCTCCTAGCCTCGGTCCTGGTAAACTCACAGCAAGAGCACAACCTCGGCCCACTAGGGGATGTGAACCAGCTCACCAGATGTCTAATTAATGCCCACTGTCAGCTGCTCAAATGTCACTTACAAAGCCTCTCTCTTTGCAGCCACTGTTTTAATGATAAAGATTATGCACTGATGTCCCTGTGCTCCTGGGTTAACGTCGTGGTTGGTAGAATGACTGGCATAGACCGAGCAGCCAAGCACGTCCTGCTTTCCAAGGGTGAGATCGTGCTGTATGACCACCTTGTCCTCTGCACCGGGCAGCAGTACCAGGTAGGGCTGGGCACATGCGGTACATCTGGGGTTCCCACGAGAGCCATCTCATGTTTACTGGGTCCACGCTCTCTGGGTAAAGAGCATCACTCTGGCCCGGACAGCTGCCGCTCTGAATTCATAAAAGCACCCTTCAGGGCCCACACACATGACCAGAATCATGTCCACAAATGCTCCCAGAAACCCATTCCAAGAAAAACATTCTGCTCAAGAATAAAAATCACAGCAAGTCAGAGAAATGCCATTCTTTAAGTTGTTGTCCCAAAGTCTAACACTTACTGCTCGCCCCAGCAGAATCCAGACACAGCCTGCATTTGTGGTGAATCAATTTATGCCTCAAGAAGCTCACACTTGGCCGTGACGATAGGCTCACACAAAAGTATTTCAAACATGTGCACCTTCTGTCAACCCTGCTTTTATTTAGTCTCTCAGTTAGAAGCTAGGAAATCTGATGGACTTGTTTCCCACGTGGTGAAACTCTCCAGTGCATCTGAGTAAGATGGTGCCGGTGGCTCTGGGGCTGTTCGGTGTCTCAGGACAGCAGCTTCCATGACCGCTTCGTGATAAGTATGCAAGATAGGGTCCCTCTCCACAAAGAGAGATGTGCTGTGTAACCCTTGGACGGGGTCTTAGCTAGACCTTCTTGTGCTAACTGTGGATCTGCTGCGGGCCTATGTATGCCGGCGTCCTTGTCATCGCCGCACCTGGAGGAGGCGGCGCATGGAGGTGGCAGGGTTTTTGTCCTGGCATTGTCATAGAATGTGCTCGGGTAGCTCTGAGCATCACTGAGCCAGTGTCTACTGCTTTGGCTGTACATTGAGATCTCCTAGTGCTCTGAAAACATGCCTGTGCCTAGGCCCTGCTCAGAGATGTTTTTTAATTGCTCTGGGGTAGGACCCAGTCGTCAGTACATCTTAAGACGGAGAACCACCAGCTTGAGCTTTCTCCACTGAGAGTCCCTCGTCTTTTCCATGGAGCAGCTGTCTCAAGTTGTACTATGCACCCAGATGCATATGCAGGGTCTGGGATGGGGAACCTGAAATACTGTGTTTCTACACAGCTCCCATGAGGCCAATGCTGTGAGTGAAGGGACCACGCTTTGAGCAGCTTGGAGCAACCTCTGAAAAGTTTCTTTTCTTTTTGTTTTCTTTCTCACTTCCCCTCCCCCTCCCCCAGCAGCTAGAACTACAGGCATGCACTGCCATGCCCAGATAATTTTTTAATTTTTTTCATAGAGATGAAGTCTCTCTATGTTGCCTAGACTGGTCTCATACTCGTGGGCTCAAGCGATTCTCCCACCTCTGCCTCCCAAAGTGCGGGGTTACGGGTATGAGCCACTGATTCTTTTTCTAAAAAGAGGTCTAACTACCAAAGGGCAAATGAGTTTTTTTCCTGCAGTTAAAGGATAAAAATTAACTGGAAGGATATTTTGTTTTGACATTGACATATTCCTCTTTTAAAACATGAAACCAGAAAGAAGCACCATTCACCTCTTTAACATGTCTCCCCCTTACCTGCCCACCGGGTTCCAGCTGCCACCCGTGCTTGTGTGCTCTGGAAGCTGTGAGTGGAAGGCCCAGCCAGCACCCAGAGATGTGGGCATCTGTCCATGTATGTCCAGCTGCCCCTGCGGCTTTAGTCTGTGGCACATTAAGCTCTTGCCCTTTTTACAACAGAAAAAATGAAATGAAGAAGTGATAAAAAGAGCTCCAATTTAATTTTTCCAGAAGGACATAAAAATCAAAGTACATAGAGCAATGCAGAAAGGGCAGCTGAACTCACTGCAGGGCTGCTGGGTGTTCTTTTTTTTTTTCTATTTCCTTCTTTAACTCTCATGGTTTTGTCCCAATGTTCTGATTAAAAAAAAAAAAGTTAAAATGAAAATAAAGTTTAAGCCCAAAGCAAGAAGATAACCTATTATAAAATATAATTAACCTCTAATCAGACCTCTTAAATGGCATGCCTCACTCTAAAATATGCAATATTTTTGATATCCAAATACATATCACTATTGTTTAAATCCTAAAATCTATACATAAGGTCAAACTCAAATTGTACTGCAGGGTTGAGCGTGAAAAGTGCTGGTTACTTTCCCAATCCACTGCTACTCCCATGTCCTCTGTCCAGAAGCAGACATTTCTATTGCTAGTCCTTCAGTGGTTACCCCAAACATTGTACGTTTATAGAAGTTTTTTCCTTGAGCTATCAACTTCAGACATTATGGCCCCTGCATTTTGGAAGATGAAGATTTAGTTGGCCCACTCTCAGTACTTCTGCATTCCCCCCCACCCCTCCTATCAGTTTTGATTATTTTTATTGGTGAACACACATTGGTTCTGGAAACCACTCTGAGCTAGCTTACAAATGAGAACACAGAATAGACAGGCATGGAGAGATGGCGAGATGCCTGTCCCACACCTGGATTTGGGTAACCTCATAATGAGGAAGAACAAAAATGTATCAACTCAAAATCAAATGAGTGTGGCATTGACCATGAGAAGACTGTGGCATGGATTGTTCAAGGGGTTGGTGGACACTAGCTGCCAGCAGGTGGGGCATGTACGTCCAGCCAAGCAAGAGAAAGAGCTAGGGTAAATTTGGCTGGGTCAGCAATGTGATATGGTCTCCCAAGAGATGAATTATGTCTTAGACTGGATCAGTAGCACTGCAGATGGTCCAGAACAGTGAAGCTCCAGGCAACAGCCTGCTACAGACAGGCTTGGAAAGAGAGCCATCTACACTAGTGTACCTCCACTGAGAGACCTGAGAAGGGCACTCCCCCATGTCATGTGTCAACACCTAATATGAAAATCTCTCACTCTAAGAATGTCTAAGGGGAAAAATAACAGTGTGAGGTCAAAGAAAAGTGGTTGTTTTAAAACGTAGCTGCAAGTTCTCTGACACTCCTTGCATCCAAGAGGTAGAGTCTGTGTCTCCTCTCCTTGAATCTGGGCAGGCCTATGACTGCCTAACCAACAAAGTATAAGAGACGTGACATGGTGACTTTGAGGCCAAGTAACAAAGGTGGTGCAGCTCCTCCTTGTCTGTGGAAACAGTTGTTCTTGGAGCCCTGAGGCACCATGCTGGAGTTGCCATAGATGGGTTCTCTGCCTGGTGGTCCCAGCTGACCCAGCCTTTCAGCCATCCCTACAAGACACCACACACATGAGTGGAGCCTCTCAGATCCTCCAGATCAACATATTCACCAGCTGAAAATTGCCAAGTGACTTCTGCCTACAACATACAGAATGAAAGAACTGCCCACCCAAACCCTACCCAAATTTCTAAACAACCAAATTATGAAAAATTAATAAAATGGTTGTTTAAGCCACTAAGTTTTGGTGTGTTTGTTGAACAGCAAGAAACAACTGGAATAAAAATATTATATAATAAGAAAAAGGGAACAACATCTGGAATAGTCAGAGAAAGGACATACTTTTGAAAGTAATTTTTAAAAATGCAGGGTTCGGGCAACCCCTTCAGGTCCTCTCCTGCTGTGGGAGCTTTTCTGTCCTCTCAATAAATTCTACTTTCTCACTTTAAAAAAAACATTAACAAAAAAATTGTGCACACACATACACCAACATTGCAGGAAACTATTTATCATCCTCAGTAAAATTTGATCACCCAGCCCCTGGAACAAGAGCTGAAGCCATCAGAAGAGCAGAAGCTAAGCTGAGAAGGTCACAGGATTTGAAGAACAGGAAAATGGGTGAGTAAGAAAGAAGTTAAATCCCCTTCAGAGACAGAGCTGCTGCTGGACACTTGGCAATACTGAGGACAAAGCACCTCTGGAGGACAGAGGCACAGGACAAGGGGACATGCTGAGTGTAATAGATATCAGGACATGACAGACATGGAGGGAACAAACAGATCATTGACTTTCCTGAAGAAGAGACCCAAAGATATGAACAGAAACAATAATTAAAGATATTCTAGAAGAAAACTTTCCTTACCTGAAAAACATATTGTCCAGCTGACCACATTCCAGACAAAATCAAAGAAAAAAATTTTCTCAGTTAATCAAGTTCTGACAAAATTTTGGTTCTATGAGAATAACAGGAAAACAATGAACAAACATTAAAAGAAAAATAACAAGTTATCAACCCTTTCCTCTAGAAAATAACAAAAAATAAGACAGGCATCAAAAATTTTCTCTCCAGCACTAAATGGCAAAAGAAAATGATACTAACCACACAGAATTTTGATGAATATGTGTTGATTCAATAATGATATGCCTACCTGAGTATCTAATATTTGAAGATAAGAGAAAGCCATTCTTTTATGTGCAAGGCCTCAGAAAAATTATCTTCCATGTTCTTTGCTTTAATGTGTATTCCAGATGACTGAGACAGAAAAGAAAATTTAGAACTTCACAGTAGAATAAAAGAACAGGTGGCAAGCACCATAAACAATTTAACAATGCAATCTAATTTTTGTAAATCTGAGAATAAATGTAAACTAGAAAATAATAAAAATTAATTAATCTAAATTAATCTAATGAAGATCAAGAAGTTGTTTAAAATAGAGAGAGATGACAGGGGAGGAATATGCATTATCTTAAATGGGGAAACCCAAAGGTAATATTTCAGTTTTGACTCATATATTTGGAAGAAATAAGATTAAAGTATCCTGTGGAACAGCATAAAGAAACTCACCTTCCAAACATGGGAGAAGATAAAAGAGGAGAAAACAAAGGAAACAGCCACACTGGTTAAAAGTAAAGTTATGAAGCCAGGCTCGGTGGCTCAGCCTGTAATCCCGTGCCTTGGGAGGCTGAGGTGAGTGGATTGCCTGAGCCCGCGGGTTCGAGACCCGCCTGGGCAACTTGGCGAGACCTCATCTCTACAGTAAATCAAAAATTAGCCGGGCGTGGTAGCACGTGCCTGTAGTTCCAGCTACTTGGAAGGCTGAGGTGGAAGGATTGCCAGAGCCCAGCAGGTCGAGGCTATGGTGGCCAGGAGCGGCCACTGCACTCCAGTCTGGGTGACAGAGTGAGACTCCAACTAAAAAAAAAAAAAGTGAAGTTATGAACCAGAATGACATAGGAGAAAAATACAACAGTTATGACAGTGAGCGTTGTGGTTTCAACAACTCTGTTATAAGATGAAGACTCTCTTTTCACACTAAATTTAGGATACAGGAGAAAGATCTGATCAAAATGACAGCAAAAGATTAAAAATAAAAAGATAGTCAAAAGTACACCAGCAAAAGACTGTCAGGCAAATTCACACAGCTATTAGAAGGACCAGCAATATTGATACCCGATAAAGTAGAATTGGAGAAAGAAAACAACATTAAAACTGACAACAGGTAAAATTCATATTGACAGTATAGAGGTTATGAACCTGTCAGCTGCTGAACATGACTGTGTCAAAGGACAGTTCACAACAACAAAGGTGCATTTGCAATATTCTATTTGTTTCTTGGAGTCACATCTAAGAAGAGAAAGAACAAGAAGCACAGTCAGAGACTCAAAGTCACGCCAGATGCTTGGCCAGGGAGTGGCAATTCAGTGTGGACATGATGGCCTGCCAGTAATCAAATACTTGGAGGGTTTTCACATGAAAATGAGTTAGACTTGTACCTTGTGGTCCCAGGAAGCAGATTTAGGACAGACCCCTGGAAGTAATGGGAACACAGTGCTTATTCATCCTAAGAAATTTCCAAAGTCTGCAGGTTTACGCAGAGAAATTGGCCAACCCAGGAGACAGGAGCATGCTGCCACAGAGCCCTCGTGGGGCAGTGGGAGCGCCTGGCTATAGCGAATGTTCACAGTGAGTCATTCACAGAAGGAACCCTCACCGAACCTCTGATGTCGGTGCCATTTTCATCCCACTTTATAGGTGAGGGAACAGAGGTACAATGATGCTGAGGTCATTTGTCCCAGGTCAGTCAGCAGGAGGTAATAGACTAGAGTCTGAACTCGGGTGGTCTGGCTCCAGGTCATGAGTCCTTGGCCTCTGCCTCTGTTTCTCTCGCTTCTTCTTTCCCTTTCCCTCTCCTCCCCCTTTCTCCTTCCCTCCCTTTCTCTCTCGTTGATATGGTGCAGGGATTACACTTTTAAAAGTCTTTGCAACAGAGATTCTAGAATTTATTCTTTGCATTTAGAGTCAAATAGGCAGTTTAAAAAAGAAAAAAAAGTTTATTTTTTTCATTTAAAATATATGGAGAAAAATACCAGGCAGGGTGGCTCCCACCTATCTTCTCATCACTTTGGGAGGGAGAGGCAAGAGGATTGCCTGAACCCAGGGATTCAAGACCAACCTGAGTAATTTGGCAAGACCTCATCTCTACGATAAATCAAGAAAAATTAGTCGGGCATGGTGGTGCATGCCTGTAGTTTAGCTACTTGGAAGCCTGAGGTGGAAGGATTGCCTAAACCCAGGAGGCTGAGGTTGCAGTGGCATGAGCGTGCCACCACTCCAGCCTGGGTGACAGAGTGAGACTCTGACTCAAAAAAATATAGATAGATAGATAGATAGATAGATAGATAGATAGATAGATAGATAGATATAAAAGTAACTCAGGTCCAATAAGGTGACTTTCTGGTGTCATCAGGAATCCAGGCTCCTTCTACCTTTAGTATGTGGGTTCCATCCTCAGCATCTCAAGATGGCTGCTGTGGCTCCAGCCATTCTATTTGCAAGAAGCTGGAAGAAGGAAAGACTAGAGCAAAATGACTTTTCACGTTGCCTTACCCAAGGACTCCACTTGTATCTCTTGACTACCTCTTAGGTCATGAGTTGGGAAGTGTGATTTTTCAGCCAAGCACATTTCCCAAGAGTCTGTTATTAAGAAAGAAAGAGAGACAGGATTTTGGGTAGGTGGCCAGCAGTCCCTGCCACCATAAGTTACTAACTTGATGAGGGGAATGGGGTGGTCAGGGGGCTCCCAACAGTCCTTGATGCTGGCTCTTTGCCACCTTGTATCACCTGGTGGCATGGTTGATGCTTTCCAAGCAAAAGTTAGTGGCAGCTGAGTTAGTGGTAAAGAGAACTCTCTAGCCTCTCTAGCCAGCCTTGACAGTATGTCTTTATTAAATAGACCCACACCCTCATTTCATTCTCTTCTTTCCTTTGATGACATAGTGTCAATCCTTTCCACAGATCATTTTTTGATTTATTGAGTTCTGCTAAACTCCATGTGGATAAATTCATTTGACTATGGGATTTACAATCCTAGCTCAGTTTTGTGAAAATGGCATTATGTGAATATGAAAAATATGTAACCCTAAAATTAAGTTTTCTTTACATTCTCTGCTTCGTTATGGTTGAGAAGTATGCAAAAACAACTACATACACTTAAGGGTGCACGAAAATCATGTGGATTACCAGAAGGCAATTATGTTTTGAGGCTGGAGTGAGCTGATTTGCCATGTGGGTCATTTTCTTTCATCCCCTCAACCTTTCTGTTCCCTGTAAACCCTACTATTGGGACAAGAACTCACTGAAAGTTTTATAAATTGAAGAGCTCTCAGTAGTTCATTAGCCTTGCCATTTTCTGCCAAGGATTTGTCATAATTTGTTAAATTATGACTCACTAAATGGATGTAATGTCACCCAGATTTTACTTTCTTTTGTGCTACCATGCCCCTTGGAGTTCCAGGAGGTGTAAAACCCCAAAGCACAGTACTCAATATTGGGCATGTCCAACCATTCACCAAAGGCTTTGGTGGGCTGTTTTATAAGAACTATGAATGTAATAATACCAACATTTTAGTGTAGTACTGTTAAATAAGTTATGTTACTAATAAGAACATTTTATTGCCACAATTTTGGTTACAGTAAATGGCCGCTACTTACTGAATTGTTTCTTTTTGCTAAATATGATTTCACCACAGCCTCATCATGGAGAGAAGACATCCAGCTTTAAACTTTGATTCTGGTTTGTTTTGTTTTATTTTAATTTAATATAGTTTGGAATTGAATTAAAAACATCACAGCAGTGCACTAAGGCCTGATGATTTCTACTGAGGAAGGGAATGTCCACAAATTTCCTGTCAGCTGGGTTTAGTCAAGCCCCATTTGCTCAAGTACCAGCCAGCATCCACACAGTGTACCAAGGCATTTTCTGGGTTGCCAAGGGAGAAAGAATTTCCTGCACCCAGTGTTTGTCTCCACAGCAAGTGAGATTTTTGCCCATCACAGCTGTAGTGTTCTCCCTACCTCTCAGCCCTGTGGTCTCCTACTACAATGCGTAAGGCCAACCAGTGTGGGTCTTCCCAAAGACCTTGGTCTGCCTTGAGTCTGGCACCCCTCTGCCAGCCTCTTTTTCCTCCTCATAATTTCTACTTGGCAGCCAAGAAAAACTTGGAGGAGCAGAGCTGTTTTATTTGGTTTTCACAATGGCGTTTCATTGGTTAATTTTAATTTGAACCAAAATAGTAAAAAAACAAACAAACAAATAAAAAAACAATCAGGAGCCCACATAAAAACCCAAGGATCTGGCATATCTTGGGAACTTGAATCTAGCCATATTGAACCCATACTCTATTCTGGCAGCACCTGCACGGAGCTGGGTCATGGCTGAACTCCTAGGCCAAGCCAGGGACCCTCCCATATGCCACAGTGTCCTTGACATGGAGGACAAGTACAGGCTGCCATCCTTTGCTGTGTTTTTGCTGCTGTTTTCCTTACAGTAGAGGAAGGTTCTGTTTCTGGCTCACGTATGTGTCAAAGTGAGAGGACAGAAGTTAGGAGGGTTCTGTGTTGAGAGAAAGAGGAAGTAAGGGAGAAAACAAAGGAAGGAGAGGAAGGGAAGACAAGGGGGAGGGAAGGACAAGAGGGAGGGAGGGAGGGAAGGAAGGAGAGGGGATAATTCCATAATTTTTGTAAGTAAATATTAGTCCACTTCCCTTGTTCTTTTTCTCTGCCCAGCCTCTCTATACCCTTGAATTTCAACTTCAGATATAATTGTTTCCATGGGAGATTGTTTTTACCAAAATAGCCACATTAGATTTGGATTGGTGTCCTCTTCTAGAGCCTTGCCACTCCTGCATGGACAGGTGGGGTCTGGGTTCCTTCTCTTTATAAGCACATCCATGAGTAGAATATGGTGGAAAGACATTGCTCGGCTTCCAAGCAGTGGCCCACAGAGTCCTTGGGACTGCTTCTCTCTCTTGGGACACTTGCCCTTGGAGCTCAGCTGCCATATTATGAGGAAGCCCAAGCCACCTGGAGAGGCCGCCTGCGTGTTCTGGCCAACAACCCCAGCCAAGGTCCAGCCCACAAGCAACATCTACTGCTAAGCAAATCATGACAACTAGTCATTTTTGAACATTCAGCATGTTTTCTTGGGATAGAAAAAGGATTGAGGTAGATCGGTCACCTCCAGATGATCCCAGCCACCAAGTCACACCCTGCCTTTGAGTTTTCCCAGCTGAGGGCCCAGACCTTGTGGAACAGAGGCAATCTGTCCCCTACCATGCCCTGTCTGAATTATTGACCTACAGAATCTGGGAGCCAATAAATGGTTGTTTTTTACTACTGAGTTTTGAAATAATTTGTTATATAGCATTAGATAACCAGAGTAATTCCTTCTGAAAATTGTCTCCAAGTGGTTCTTCTGCCTGTTGCTTGTTTTTGTTTGTTTGTTTGTTTTCATATCAACTAAAACCTGATTGATTGTATCGGGGGACAGAAAAAGACATATCTCTGCTGGAAATGGCTATGTCTACTTTTTCATAAACTGTCAACACTTTACCTATTACTGAAATGAGCATTTCTTTAACATACTTCAGGTTCCATGCCCTACAGAGGCCGATATTAGTCAACACCTGACAAACAGAGAGGTTCCACACAGCAGTAAGCGGCGCTACACTGGTCAAGTTCCCTGCAATCATTTCACCCTCAACGATGAAGAGGATTGCCTTAAGGCACTGACTTGGATAAGAAACAACTTCATCGCCACAGAAGGTAAGGATGTCAGGAACCGTGCATCTTTTCAGGAGAGCGTTTTATTTTTATAATGAGTCTCATTCTTCATCTAGTTCCAGTATATAATTAGTGCCTAATTAATTCCAACCAAATCACTCATCTGTCATGCTTTGTTTTCCAGATTAATTTACAACTTGTTGTCATTTTTGGATACCCAGCATGTTTGCTGGGGGAAAGAAAAAGGCTTGAGATAGTTTAATTATCTATAATTATTTTATTACACAAAATGAATATCCGAAGAGCAAAGCATGGCTAAAATCATTAACTAATTAAAGAATAATTTAATAAGCAAACATGTTTAGCAATTATATGGAAAATATGTCTCCTTTTGTGAAGCTGAAAAGACCTAGGAAGAAAAAGAAAGGCCTGTGTTGGAAGGGTCTTTTCATCTTCCCACCAGCCATTGTTCTGTGTCTCAGAGCTGCCTGAACAGTCCTGCCCACAAATACCCAGGTTCCAGTTACATGCACTTTTTGAATCGAAATGAGAAAGTAAGACATTTGTACAAATGCCTTTGCCGCTCAGAAGCATTTTCTCAAACATCCTCCTCTCTAGTGCTTGAATTTCACTGAGATGGTTCCGCTCGTAACACAACCAGAGTAGGGCCTGGCCACCTGTGTGTGTTAAATGAAACCTGGAAGTCAGAGTTTGGAGATGACTTGGGACTGCCCCATCATTTTACCTAGAAACCCAGAGATGGTTAGTGACCTGGTTGTGTTACACATCCACCTGTGGTTAGAGCTGAATCCTAACCCAGAACTCCAATTCAATCCAGGGTTATAAAGATCACTAAGTGCCCAGAAAGTGGGCATTGCTGTATATAATTAAATGTGTTTATTTATACCACGTGTTTTCACTCTTAAGTAGGACTTGAGCATTAATCACATTAGCACAAGGAAGGGATCTACAGTCTCTGGGCACTTCGGGACGCAGAGGGGGAGGGACGTAACAACACAAAGCGTACCTGGTCCCAAACCAGGTGATGTGGGGGTCCGTTGGAGGCCCAGACTTTACCCACATGCAGCCTACTTGTGTAGCTAATCCTTATGTGTAACCCACATCTCTATAATACACTAAAATTTAAAAATAACAATAAATATGTATTTAAAGAGAATTTAATTATATTTGCTAATGTAACCAATACATTAAAATGAAATATGATTTCTTTGGACGTTTTGTGGGCAAGTTAGGTATTAGTTAACTTTTTGCCAAGTTACTACATTTATGACATTAAAAGTTTACTAAATTTACTACATTAAAAATGCTTAAATAAGTGTTATGTGGCATTCAATACTTTGCTGAATTCTTTTTTTTTTTTTTTTTTTTTGAGTTGGAGTCTCACTCTGTCGCCCAGACTGGAGTGCAGTGGCCGCTCCCAGCCACCGCAGCCTTGACCTGCTGGGCTCTGGTGATCCTTCCACCTCAGCCTTCCAAGTAGCCGGAATTACAGGCACGCGCTACCACGCCCAGTTGATTTTTTGATTTATTGTAGAGATGAGGTCTCGCAGCCCAGGCGGGTCTCGAACCCGCGGGCTCAGGCAATCCACTCACCTCAGCCTCCCAAAGGCGTGGGATTACAGGCTGAGCCACTGAGCCCGGCTACTTTGCTGAATTCTTTTGCTGATAACTTTATAGGCTGTTGTCTCTACATTCATAAGTCAGACTGGCCTGTAGTTTTCTCTTATATGCTTTGCTGGTCAGTTTTGGGAATGCTGGCCTTACAATGAAGTTTTGGAAGTTTTCTATGTCTTTTGGGGATTTGAAATACAAAGTAATTTAAAGGTTGTACAGGAATCACCCCTAAAACCACTTGAGTCTGGAATCTTTGGGTAGAGGTGGGATGGATGGATGAATGGATGGATAGATGAATGGATGGATGGATAGGTACACGGATACATACATACATACATATCAGCAACCCAGATTTTGAAAATTTGTATTTTCATATTTGTATCAGAATTTTGAATTATTTTCAGTTTTGTATCTGTGTATGTTTACACATGTTTCAACATTTCAGTTCTTTAATCACTGCCCGTGACCTATTTAGACTTAGAGAATTGTCTAATCCAGGGAATTCTCTAATTCAGGGGCTGGCAAACTTTTACTATAAAATACCAGATAGTAAATATTTTAGACTTTGCAAGCCATATAGTCTGTTGCAACTTTTCAACTCTGCCATTTTAACAAGAAAGCAGTCATAGACAATACATAAACAAATAGACCAGTTGTGTTCCAGTAAAACTTATTTACAAAAATAGAAGATCTGTAGTTTGTAGAAATTTGCTTTTAGCCTTAGCATTTGTGATAAATCATTCCCTTTTCATCAAATCCAGAACCTAAAATGCAACTTAAACTCCCTGAAAACACAAAAGCCAATAGTCAATACAAAACGCAAAGTATATCTTAAGACTGTGCCCAAACCTGTTAGCGTGCAGTGCTTTAACTTTGAACCCTGGGTATTAGGACTATGGAGCATTTGACCAAGAAAAGGGCCTTTGACAGTGGCAATGAAAATCTTAAGACAGAACGCTGATGGCAGAGAATTTAGAAACTCCAAGGCAGGAAGCACCACGGTCTCCTTCAGGTGCCTCCTCAGTGTCCTTTTGGTTCTTAGGTTGGGGAAGACTGTCAGTGCTATTCTGCTGACTCGACTAGCTGTCAGAGATGGTGATGCTCTGGTGCCCACCTCAAGGGAGATACTTTTTCAAGATGTAAGAATGTTTCCCATCAGCATAAAGCCCCCTGAGTGCCTACTTTGTCCACTGAACAGCTAGAATGAGTCTTGTGTGGAGATTAGTTTCTCGTCATAATTGTAGGTGATCTTCCCTGGGTCTGGTGCTTAAGGGCTCCCCAGGCACCTCCCAGGTAGTGCTCTTAACACTCAGATGCTGGGACCAGGTTCTGGGAGCTATCTGGGAAACCCTACCTGGCCAGGTTAACTAAATTACTCCTTAAGTAAGACACATTAGGAGGAACAATGCCAACCTGTTGGCCAAAGGAAACTCTTCATCTTGTAACTTCTCCATCATTTGAATCATATTCAGACATGACATGAGTCCCATTCGGATCTTATTCTTGCAGTTATTATTCTTGCAGCATCAGCCCAGAACAGAATGGGCCTGGGACAGTTAACCCGATTGGCTATGGAAAGCCCCCTACACCTGAAAGCCAAGAACCAACAACAGAAATACACCTACAGGGGCTTCCAGGAAACATGGTGCAGACTAGACTTCAGCTAGCCGGGGGTGGGGCTGTGGGGTCTCCACATCGAGCCTCCTGGTCTCCTGGCAGACTGCGGTGTGTTCAGCAGGGAGGGCGGATCTGTGGAGAACTATACATTCATGCCAGATCACTTGAGTCGCCTTGATGACCTCTGCTTCCTAAGTGCGACTTTGAGTGGGATACTTGAGTTTCAGTGCTGGGCTTTCAAATTCCTTCTAATACTGTGGAAAACCCAGTGGTCTTTCCAGAACTGCATTTTGAAAAGAGGATAGTCATTGCAGCATTGTTTCTGAGACATCAAGAGTACCATACTTTGCTGAAGCCCCAAGCCACTTTGAAAGTTACAACTCTTTCTCTTCTCTCCATGTCACTTGTATCCAGCACATTGCCTAGCATGTAGTAGGTGCTCAATAAACTGCTTTAGTGCATGTAAATGAAGACAGTTCAGAATGTAACTCTTTTCCCTACCCCTGTATGGTGAGTCTTAACTTTTTGCATTCAATCTAACCAGGAAATGGATGGCCAGTTGACATGAAGACAGGAGAACCTTTGAGTGAAATTGATGGCATTCTTTAAAAATTCCTTTGTCTTTAATGAGAATAATAATATGCTGGCTATATAAATGAGCCTGGATCTTCATTGTGAATAACAGGCATTGTCAAAACCGGCTAGCTCAAATTCTGAAGTCAGACACCCTGGGTTCAAATCTTGGGTCTACCATTTCCCTTGGCAAATTACTTAACCCCTCTGCATCTCAGATTCCAGATAATATCTTCTTCATGTGGGTTGCTGTAAGGATTAAATGAGACACGTGATAGAATGCATTCTATAAATATAGGCTGCTGTTAACAATACTATTACTGTTGTATGTGATGGAATTGTTGGAGGTTCCCCAGTGTAAGTCTCAGCCTCTGCCATTGCTAAATGGTGAAGTCAAGGATAATAGTCTCTGGACAAAAATGGAGATCTGTGTAGACCAGATGCCAGTTTGTTGTAGAGGCACTCTGGCCTTCCAGAGAGTTGTGGAAGCTGAGAAGTTTGGAGAAGCCTTCTCCGAGAAGGGAGGATCTGAGCTCAGCCTTAAAGGAGGACAGGATAAGCAAATGGAGAGAGAGAGTTTGGGGGAATGTGGGTTGTGTCCAAAAGATGCTGGGCCCACAACTTGGGCTGGGCAGGGTCCGTAGAGAGCAGTGGGAGGTGAGGATGGAGGAGCAGGTGGGAGAGAGGCTGTGGTGCACCTCAAGTGTCCAGCCACATCCAAGTTTAGCCATTTACTGTTTAGGAAATGGGGTCCCAGTGAAAGGAGCCCCAGTGGGTCATGCTGTGCACACCACTCGAGGACGGGGACCTCTCCATACATGCCAGCAGAGAGAAGTGACCATGAAAGAATGGGTGACCAGGATGGCAACAGGCCTCTGAGGTTGGGCCGCTGTGAGTGCAGGTGACAGCTGGCAGTGTCACCCTCAATCCTTTGGGTGGCCTGTCAACACAGCTACTTCTAGTGTGTTTCCAAGTCAGTATGGGATGATGATAGTGGAAGCAGAGAACAGATGTCTGGCACATGATGGGACTGCCCACCACTCATTTGAAAGATCGAGGGAGTGATCTGTCACCATCACTGGACATTCAAGCCTTGCTTTCTCTTCATGTCACCCCAATAACACTGGAAGGAATGGGGACATGTATCCTAGGAGTTTGCTTTTACTCCCTCAGTGCTAATTTCCCCTTTTCTAAACAACAAAGGAGCCGAGAACAGA